CATTAATCTCATAAAATCTATTGATTAAAATCATAAATATGAATTCACTGAGAAAAATAATATGGGTTTATATTCAAATTTTCTTTCTCAGTGACAAAGATAGCATACCTAGACAAGAAGATAATTGATAGTAAAAATCTAGCAAAATAAATTTGCTTGGTTGAATTTTATGTTTATTTTATTTATTTACAAGTTCTTTAATTGCTAATTTGCTTTAAAATATAAAATAAATAAATAAATATATATATATATATATATATATTTATATTATATAAATTTTAAATTATTAAAAAAAATTTGATAATTTTTTTGCGGGTCAACCTGCGGGTTGGCTAACCCGCTAGAAAATGAGTTGAGTTGGGTTTTTCAGCTCGTTTTATCTTGTGAGTTGGCCCAACCCAACCTACAAAAATGCCAACCCGCACGGGTTAGCCTGTGGGTTGGCCCATAACCCGTTTGTCCAGTGCTAGTCTAAAATTAAGTAAATTTAAAATAATATTAATAATTAATTAAATCAGGTGGTATAAAATTTTCATTTAATAAAAAATTAGATAGTATTTCTTTTATATGTTACCAATTAATATTATTGAAATCACTCAATAATTTTAGTAAAGTGCTATTTCTTTTATGAGGTGATTCAATTATGAAAATTTATTCAATCAATAGCTAATATTCCTTCCGTCTCAATTTATAAAACACTTTTAGACTTATCAATAAAATTTATTTACAGCGCTGTGTGAAAGAGTTTTGGGATCTAACGCAAAATTATTTAGGACTAAGGTGCATTTTTACTGTTGAAGCTATTTTACCCATGTACTTATAAGTGGAGCAATTTTACCCCTAAACTATATTTTCAAGGAGTGCTAAGCACCTTGTAGAAAGGTTGTTTTGATCCTCAAAAATATAGTTCAGGGATAAAATTGCCCCATTTATGAGTACAGGGGTAAAATTGTTCTTTGAAAAAAAAAATCCAAAAGTAAAAATGTACATTAACCCAATCATTTGTGAAGCTTGATGTATTACTCCCTCCTGTCCTTATTATATTAAATACCTTCTAGAATAAATCTTTGGTTCTTAATATAAGACACATGGGGGTCATTTATTACCATTTTTCAATTTTACCCTTATTGTAAATTTAATTTTATGGCTCATTATATATCATGTATCTCTCTTCCTATTTTTAATAGGGGTAAAGTTAAAAAAAAATATATTTTAAGACATATTAAATGAGGACTTCTGGTGAAGTAATAATAGGGACTCGTGGAATTATTATTTATCTATCTTCATATTACTTTTTTGAATGACTAATTATATAGGATAAAAACAAGTAATAAATTCAAAATGAAAAAAATATATAGCTAACATTAATGCTTGACAAAAAAATGGTGACCGATTATATAGGACATAAATAAATTTTTTTGAAGCCTACTACAACAGGCTTAATTGCCTAGTATCACACACTATCATGCTCATTAAGTATACTTTACAACTTTATTTTTTAAAAAAATATAAATTTTAAAAATATCTTTCATTTAATATTCTATTTTAAAGAGAAAAAACATAATATGAAGGGTTATATTGAAAAAAACATCACTAATAAAAAAATTGTTAAAGCATCTTATATTTTGAAACATCAAATTTTTTCTAAAAATGTTAGGATAAGGGGGGCATGATTTAAATTTCATAAAACTTTATATAGTCAAATTTAGAGGATTTTTATCCTATTATTTTGCTGAAAAGTTTGATAGTAAAAAAAATGTTTGCAAAGTCATTGACAAATTTATTGCTTTTAATTAAAACAAAAGAGAATTTCATTAAAGTCTCTTAAATGTAATATAATTTTAACTGAATTTTAAAAAATTTTGAAGTTTTATTGTAGGCCTGGAGCACTTAAATGAAATAATTTTTTGCTTGAATGACCAAAATACCTTTCAATTAAAATTAACATTATTGAAATAATAAAGTTATAATTTTTACAAGTAATATCATTATAATAACAAGTTAAATTACAGTTTTTACAAGTAATATTATTATAATAACAAATTAAATTACAGCTTTTACAAGTAATATAATTAAAATAGCAAATCAAGTTATGATTTTTACAAGTGATATTAGTGAAATACTAAGACAAGTTATAATTTTTATAAGTAATATTGTTATAATAACAAATCAAGTTATAATTTTTACAAGTAATATTATTAGAATAACAAGTTAAGTTATGATTTTTATAACTATTATTATGAGAATAATAGAAGTTATGTTTATTCTATTAATGTTACTCATAAAACTTATGACTAGACTTGTTATTCTACTAATACTATTTGTAAAAATTATAATTTAAATTGTTATATTAATAATGTTAATTATAATTGAAGGACATTTTGGTCATGCATGCCTGAAAACTTTAATTCACTTCAATGCTTAGAGGCTGCAATAAAATTTCAAAATTTTTGAGATCCGATTAAAATTATGCCATATTTAAGGGACTTAAATGAAATTCTCCCTTAAAACAACTACTTTTTTAATTAAGCCGATTATCCTTTCACCGTTTCGGGCATATTTAATTTATGTCTGTTGATCCCAAACACGTCTGATCAGACCCCCTTTTTGTCTTTTTCCCCCCAAAACCAGCGTCTGATCAGGCATATTGGCGGCCCTGAAATATTCTATAATAAATATATTTAATTGTACCCCATCACAGAACTAACAGTACGGAGGGTATGGATATCATTATATTTCGCTTTCTTATTTACTTGAGTACTTTTTTTAAAAAAAAATCACAATTAAAAATTTAATAAGAACATAAATTATAATTACATATTTTAAATTTTTAAAATTTTAAATATAGATTTTTTTTGCCAAAAAATTCTAATAATATATTATCATCCTTAATTACAATTTAAAAAATACAAATAGTGAGTTGAAAAATAAACAAAGTGCAATTAAAATTATTTATAATGTTTGTCAATAGCAAGCGAATCGTTTATGATTTTTTGTTATTAATATATAAAAAATTACTAGAAAAACTTACATAAAATATTTAAAATTATTTATAACATCAATTAAAAATTTATGAAAATTAATTGTGAATTATAGGTTAATTATTTATAATTTTTTTTGTCAATATACAAATAAATCATTGAGGAAATCAACAAAAAATGCTTTGAAATTTTTATAGTGTTATTTGAAAAATTATCAAAAGTTAGTTGTCAATTTCAAGTCAATTAATAAAAAATACTTTATTGCGAGTAAGGATTATAGAATAATTCAATGTTTGTAATTATAATTAATGTTTTTATGGGTCTAATTGTCATTTCCCGGTTTTAAAACATTTTTCGTTATTTAAGTATAAATCTCAAGTCTTGAAATATTAATTAATGCATGTTGAATCATGCAAAGATCAAAATGGTATTTAACTCATTATGTTTTTTTTTAAAAAGGTCATGCAAAAAATGCTGAGTGATGTGGGGGATAGGTTTTGTTTTGGTACGAATAAAAAAAAATTAAGAAATGAAACTGCATTGATGACATTCCATTGGTTCTTAACTACTCTTGGTGTTGGGTTATTTTATTTTAATTCTTGAATCTTTTGAAATTGAGAATCAATAAATTTTATGAAGTTTCTCTTTTTTTAAGAAAAAAAAGATTTTATATTTAATAAAATAAAATAAAATAAGAAAAAAATATAAAAAGAGAAAAAATTTATCCAAATATATGAATCTCAAATTTAGAGTATTTAAAATCTTTATTTTTTTTAAATTGAAGGAGTGTAAAAATCATTTCTTGAAAGACAGAAATTTTTTAAATAGCAATTAAATTTTTTGAAAAATTAATCATATAATTGTCAGCTGTGAAATATCTTATATAATGAAAGAAAAATCTTTAATTTTTAAGGATACTTGGAGGTGATGCATTCTGTCAGTGATTTTATGTTGTTGACATTTTGAGGAAAGTTTTGAAAAAAAAACATATTAGTATATTAATATTATTTTTTGCGCATATTCAAATTTGAATTATGTCAGTCAATTTATCAATATTTACATTAATAGAGATGAGGAACTAAAGTTAACGGGGGTAGTATAATTAAGAGAAAACATAATTATTGGTTCCTATATACTTTTATTGAGTTTTATTACAAGTCTTTGTATCTTTTAATGTTCTAGGTTTCTCTAATTTTTATAGTTGATAATATTAGTTGATCTCTTTATATATATATATATATATATATTAAGAGTAACGATGATATGGCACTAATAATTATGTTAAATTATTTGATAGGTAATTAACAACATTATTGAGGATCAATGCACTAAAAATTGGACAATTCATTGAATGATTCAAGGCACAAGTTCAAGGATCAATGATCTAATTAATGATCAAATTAAAATCAGACTTGTTATGATCAAAATAATATAATTTAAATAAAAAAAATTAATTTTCAAAACATTCATCCACATACAAGATTCTAAGATACAACAAGTTTGACAACAATAAAATACAATAACATTCAAAATATTCATTATTATTATTCTTTTATCATTAAAAAGTTCAAAATTAATAATCAAAAATACTAAAATTATCATTAACTTCATTCAAACCCAGCACATTGAGACATTAGGAGCTGAAATAATTTCAAAACAAATAAAGTGATAAACAAACAGTCTTACAATCAGGAAAGAATAACTCAGCAGCATAAATAATACAAAAATCTGGCCTCATTCTACCAAATCAGAGAATAATTTTCTCTTTAAGAGTTAGAATTGAAAATAACAAATTATTTCTATTCGATGAGTATCTGACACAGTATTTTCTGATTACAGTATTGAGAAAAAAAATTGAAATTCTGAAATCTAAAAATATTATATAAAAAATTTTGATCATAGTATCACAGCTAATAACGTGACAGGACTGATTCAACACCGAAACCGTACAGTTTTTTTCCGTTTTTGGACCAAAAGGAAGAAACCTGCACAAAGCACAGCAAACTATAACAAGTCTGAAATCAAATCAATCCAGTGGAGACAAAGGCGAGTTCACGAGGAACTGAAGCCACGAAAAGATACATCAAACATTCAGCTTTCGTCTATCTCTTCTTCCATCTAAAGCTCCGGCCGATCCGAGAAACCTCCCGAGTTCAAGTTGAAAGAAGAAAGCTCGGTGACAATGGCTTGTTTCTTCAAAGTCCTCCTTGGCGACTGGGAGAAAAAACTGGTAATTTTCTTTCTCCTGCTTTTCTTTTTCCCTACTCAACTTCTCATTTTCACTCTGTTTTGCCACTGTGCTCTCCACCTTCGGATTCGTCTCTGGCAGGTCCCTCAACCTCCTTATTTTTTCAGTTTCTGGTTTTGGCTCAGTTGGTTGAATGATTTGGCTGCAGCTTGGCTGCCTATGGTTCTCAGTTTCTGGTTTGGTTCAGTTGGTTTATGGTGCTTTTTTTCTTTTTCTGGTTATCGATCTGTCATTGTGTAAATGTATGCTGGAAATTTGTGCATGATTTTGCTGTGGGCTGAAGACGATGGTCGATAGAGTAGGAGAAGCTAGGCGAAACAATGGTGGGGGATAAATATGTCATTTAAATTTTATTTCTAGTTATACGCCAAAACTGGTTGGGAAAGGAAAAGAAAACAAATTTCCTGGTGCTCAAATCGCTTTTTTAGAATTTTTTTTTTTTTTTCCTTTTGCAGCGAATCCCCACGTTGTTTGTCTCCTGCTTTTCCGAGCTTACACCTAAGACAATAATACTCATCCATCCTGTGTCAAAAAGATTATGGACCGTTGATATTGAGGAAGATGATGACAGAGACTTGTACTTCACAAGAGGTTGGGCTAAATTTGTGACAGAAAATGCTTTAGCGACTGGGGAATTTTTATTTTTCATGTTCGATGGGAATTCAAAATTTCAAGTTTGGATCTGTGGAAAATCTGCCTGCGAGAAGACGCTTGAGAATCTGGCATTGGAGGCACTGGTCAATCAGAAAAACCACAAACAACGTCATAATAAACAGACGGCAACTCGACATGGTCAAGAAACTCGGAAAGGAAAAGATCCAATGGATGTTGAAAGGCAAATGGGGAAGCTTGTTGATGCTGAGATAAAAGAGGAGAGAATAGATTTTGATGATTCTAGTACCTCTCGCCAAGAAACATGTGATGAAACGTGGGTACCCGATTCTGAAGCTGAAGAAGAAGAATTAGAAGAAGAAGAAGAAGAAGATTATGAAGCAGAAGAAGAAAGTGGTGAGTCTGAAGCTCTTCAGCCTGAACCTCGTGATCCAACCAGGAACATTGGTAAGCTATTCAAAGCCGGCCTTCCATTGATATTTCTGTTTAAACTCATACTTTATTACTGTGATTGAAAGCCTAATTACATAATTAGTCAGTATAAAAATTATAGCTCTTTTTTAGACTTGGAACAGGTGTCATTTTTAGTTCAAATAATTGTGATATTTCGTTATGTTTTAAAGTTTGTACACCAGTTATATAATTAGGCTTTTACTAATTTCCATTTTAGTGTAAGATTTCGGCTCACTTTTTGATTTATTAGGTGGAGACCGCAATTTGGGTTGTAAGGTTCCTTCATTCAGTATACATCTCCAGCGTGCCTACGCAAAACAGGGTTGCATGGTTAGTTCTTGACATCATACAAATACTTGGCTTCTTAATCATGTGATAACTTCATATTGAAGCTGAACTTTTTATTTGGCCTGTCTTTTCGTTCTTCTTTCCTTGATTCTTCCTTATGCTATTCATTCGCGTCATCAAACATCTATGCTCTTACTGCATTGTTTCCATTAGTTGTCACATGTTATGTGAGTGTAACATGATATAGTGATATTTCATTTAGTCAAATGTTTGACATGGCAAGACAAAATGGACCAAAATAGACAACTGAGATCTTGTCAGGACAAGACTAGTAAACCAATGACTGCACAATCTTCACTGAACCCGATTCTTGTAACACACTGACTTTGGTGTTACAATAAGGTAGATATTGTTGAAATATGGTGGAGTTGGAGATTCAGATTCAAAAAATATTTACACAACACCATTCCCTAAGACCTATAATAGACGAGCAAGAAAGAAAAGTGATGTTGAGAAGGCTAATACGTCTGGCCAAGAGAAATATACCGAAGTTTAGGTGAGAACACTGATTTGTGAGTTGTTCTGTTCACTGTAACTGTATGATCTCGTTTGTAATAATATCAAAACCCAAGTTACTCCATTTGCTGACTGTTTCTGTTGTAATTTTTCTTTGATTCTGTTGACAAGACTTGCAGGGTTCTAACAAAATATAATTTAAAATGTTGTGCCATCTCTGATGTTAGATGTGCATCAGACACAAATATGGTTTCATGCTTCATGCTTTCAAGTGATATTCAGAATAATATGTTTAAGTAATTTTGTGCAGTGCATTCCAACAGAGTTCTTCAAGAAGTACATAAGAAAAGAGATGCAAGAGGTGGAGATTGAGACAGTGAGAGGAGTATGGACAGTGACATTACTTCCCTTCAAGAAAAGGACAAGAACATTTGCTAGGTTCAGTAAAGGCTGGTCACAATTTGCCAAAAAGAATCACTTGAAGGAAGGACAAACTCTCATTTTTAAAATGATTCGTGGAGGTCATTGTCCTAAGTTCATCGTTTATAGGCAAGAAAAGACTATTAAGTAAGTGTATTTGAAAAATTCTTGTGATGATAAGCTATGTAAATGGTAGGATTAATTTATCAGCTACTAGGAACTAGGAAGTGAATTTGGCATAGTGAATCAATTTTGTGTGTGTTTAAGTCCAATTGATAGATTGATCACCTGCTTAATGCAAGCTTCCTTGATTACTCTCTTTGAACCTACTTATAAGTTAAAGAAAAAATATTTTTTTAGATTAAAATATACATTTAGTTTTTTAACTTTACATAATGTTTTAATTTGATCCTTTAATTTTATAAATATCTTTTCAATCTTTTAACTCTAACATCGTTAATTTCATTCACAAAAAATTCATACATTTAACTTTTAAATATTGAAAAAAAATTCTCAAATGTTTGTTGATATATTTGATCGCTCTCGCAAGTATATGAGATCACAGTAATAAATTACTCAGAGTATTTTAGGTGTTGAACCCACAAGAAAGTTACAATTTTACTAATTTAAATAATTAATAGTTTAAGAAAAATAGATAAAATAGATAAACTTGATAAAAATATAAAGAATAAAAATAAATCAAGAAAATAATGATGATAAAAATGCAATCACTTGAAGTGTTGGGGTTTAGGATTCACCTTTTAGGTTGTTAGTTTTTACCCTTTGAATTGACTTGGATTAATTATAGTGATAACTATTCCTAAAGTGTCCTAGTATTCTCCCGAATTATTAGTCCCTTTTTAATTAGCATTGAATTCATTTCCACGATACCCAAGTAACTAATTAAACCGTGAAGTTATAGTTTAAGTCACCACAAATTTCTATAATTATTCCTAATCTAGTTATTTATGTTTAGTTCTCTATATCTAGGTTTTCTCTTCACTTCCCAGTCCATCAAGATTATCCATAGATTTGATTAAATGGTGGCCAGTCATTAAATCAATATGAAGAACAAGAGAAATAAATATAATTAGAAAAAATCAAAAATATTCATAAATATAAATGCAAAGAGTCAAAATAAAGGAAATAGAAAACTAGCTCCTCAATTGGGCTACATCCTTATTCCAATTGAGTAATTTAGAAACACATAATAAAATTAAATAAAATCATTCTAAAATCCCCAATCATAAAAAATGATCACAAAAAAATTAAGAAGTAAAAAAGAAATAATTATAATTTGTGAAACTCCTCAATGATCTCGTTTTCAGCCTTTAGAATACTTCTACGAGTTTCAAATATCTCAAAGAGAATTCTTGATATATTTAGATAAGTGATTGGATGCATTCCCTCTTGATGGAGGAAGTATTTATAATTAAAGTGAAGGCTCCTTCTTTTGTTTCTTGTTAATGTGGGACTCTAATATATATATATATATATATATTTCTCTTTTCCTTCTTTTCTTCTATTTGGTTTATTCTTTTTCTCTACAAAATATAAAGATAAAAAGATATGAGTGGATTTTGTATTAAAATTTCTTTTTAACTTATAATTAAGTGATGAGGGAAAAATATATAAATATTAATTAAATAGATATAAAATTTTAATAAATATAATCAAAATCAAACTAAAATCTATACCTATTTAATTATAAAATATGCACTTATCAATATTAGGTTTATTTTTTAAAAAAATAACAATATTGACATAAAAAAATAATCATTTAAAATTAATGGGTAAGAATTAAAGAACTGAAAATACATTTTATAAAATTAAAAAATTAAACTGAAATCTTGTGTAAAATTAGTGGTTCAAAAATACACTTTAGCCTTTTGTATTATATGTATAAGTCCTCATCAAATTTTTATTATAGTTTTTTCATTTACTTCTATTAAATGCTAGTAAAAGAAAATATGTTATTAAATATGAAAATACGTTATTAAATATATATATATATATATATAATATGATAAATTTAAAAATTTATTAATTTTTTTAAAAAAAATTAATAAATTTTAAAATTTTTTTAATCTAATAAAAGTAACTTATAAAAAAAATTATTTTATTAAGAAAAATAAGGTGTTAAAATTTTTGTTAAAAAGAATATTATGGACAAGACAACTTGTTGGGTGTAGGCTAGGTGACAATTATACAATAATTTCTTTTTCATTCCATGACTTTTTTTAAAAAAAAATTCGGATACTAATCATTATTGAAATTATACAATACTAATCACTCGTATTAATTTAGCATCGGTGTAATAATAAAATTAACACATGTACTATATAAAATGACAATTTCATTTTTTTTTTTAAAATAAGTTTCCCTTAGCTATTCTCGATCTGAATATGTTGAACTTTTCACGAAGCCATGAGCTGTTGAGATCTTAAGTTGATGATGGTTATGTCATGTCATCAATCATACATACGTACATAATTTATTATTTTATTTATATTTATATTCATTTATGTATTGTAAATTGAGAAGCACGTTGAAAGCACTGTACATTCACAATTCTTTCAACAGTACTTTGTAATTTATTTTTACTTTATAAATTTTGAAAGTAGTAAGCGGGGGGGGGGATTCATGGTAAAAAATCATGGCGGAGATGAGACTTAATAAAAATAATAGATGTGAGATTTATAATAAAATTATAAATATAATTTAGACAAAGTGTTAAAAAATAAAAAGAAATTATATTTAGAAAGATCATGTAGGACTCATAATAGAAAATGGTGATGGATATAAGATTCAAAGAAAAATAAAAAATAATAGGGGTTGAATATGCAATGAAATTTTAATTATAAATTTAATTTATATGAAGTGCAAAAAAGTGGGTATTTAACTAAATGAACTTTTTTGATATTTTAATTTTAAATTTACATGGAGATAACACATCTTGGAATAATATTTTTTCCATATTTTGAGTAAAATATAATCACTATTCATTTAAAAAAAAGGTTTGCATATGTTTTAAAAGTTGAAAAGAGGTGTGCCTATTCCTACTTGTAAAATATACATTATTGTTTAAATTTTAATTTACCTGGTGTAACATCTTGAATTTGAGTTAAAAATTTAATTAATTTAGATAATTAGTTAGTTCATTATGGTGATTAGGAGTTTATTGTGGGATCCAAATGGCAAATTGAACCTATCAAACCCTTTAAGAAAGTCAAAATAAGGTTAAATGGAGTTTTAGGCCATTCAGAGTCCTGGGCTTAAGTAAACCTATCTGTTTTGTGTTGTTCGTTGTGGTTAATGGCTCAATTCACCGTGACAAGTGTGGCAAAATTTTAAAAATTGAATATGTCATTCTAAATGAGCCATTTGAAGTGTTTTTGAGAGAGGTCCAAAGAGGAAGCACCTAAACTCCATTAAGGTTTAACTATAGTGAAGCTTGGAAGGCATTTTAAGGATCTCACACATTGGGTAAACATTCTACTTCATTGTTCTTGCTTCTTCCTATTTCTTTTAAGTTAGTTTTTGGAGTTTAATGGGGCTGTCTGAAAATGACAGCATTGATGAGGCATTCAATGACTTTGATAGAGCTTAAGGGTGCTCATAAGTGTTATCAATGAATGAATGGGTTTTGATAGTTTCTAGTAGTAAATGTCATTATTGAGGGTTAAAATGTTAATCTTAATACTAAATAATTAAAATAAAATTTATGAAGGTAGCTAACAATGATAGCTAAGTCTAGTAAAAGTTAAATAAACTAATAAAAACTAGTTTTAAATTTGGATATGCTTAATCATTCTTGATGAAGGGATTAGGCCTTAATCATTAATGACAATTAGTCATTAATGATGACTTATTAACCTTTTATGTGTAGAGTATAAGCTAAAGCTTATTGAATGGATAAAAAGTTTTTTTCGGGAATCGGGCTTTTCACTCTTTGAAATAATAGAGACTTCAATGCAAAGGTACTCAAATGCAATATTATACTATAATGAATTATTGAAAAATATCGTTATAGGGTCAATTGTTTGGTAACTGTATTTTGAGTTTTGAATAATTATGTGGAAAGCCCTTAGGGTGGAATACAATGTTAAATGAGGAGGACAAGAACTTCCTGTTCAACCCAATAATATTTTTGACTTATGGAGTCACAGAGGAACAGTTTTGGTGGATCGGGGAGACATGACATTATCCATAGCACTCATAGTCGAGAGATTCAGTTCTTAATTGGTTGAAATTATATGGATCTTAGTTGTTGTCAATTTTGTAAAGTATTAATAGTTGAATTAAGATTGAACATTTACTATTATGCAAGCAGGAATCTTCTTGATGCATATAATTTTAACTGTAACTGTGATTAATTAAGATGTAATGAATAAGATGAGATGAGTAACAGGGAATGTGAACTCTAGATTGTTGCCCAATGAATATTACGTCTAAAGGTGGTGTTGTTGGTAGAATCTTGATAATGATGATACATAATTATGAAATGTAAATAAGGTGTTCGAAAGGGCTATGAATCATTAATGATGTGTAAGAATTGGAATGCATGTCGGAATAGGGTACACTTATTGTTGAAGAGAACATGCTCCGATGTAATAATTTTGATGGCATCACTGTGCAAGTACGAACTTTATATTGTTTGAGTGTATACTAGCTACGAGACATGCATGTATGTATAGGTTGCATGAGAGTAGTTGACTTGGCATGGGCATGAAGGCTATAATAGTACAAATCTACATGATGTGATTTCTATTAAGTTTGCACACCGTGATTGATATCTTTATTATTAATGTGTTTAGTATTGTCAATAATTTATGAACGTAACATGGATCAGAAATAATGCTTAATATCACTAATCCTAGATTGGATGATGTGGATTAGCCAACTTTTGACACCCTAAAATTTAAATAAAGGAAATTCATAGTTTGAAAGTAAGTATGAAAATATTTGGCTGGATAATCCCTTACAATTGGAATAATCTAGTTACATGAGTTAGCTCAATATGAGTTATTAATCCATGAGTTAGGTCAGATGATATAAGGAAAAATATAACGTGATTACATTAGTCAGAAAACATTAAGACATGTTTATTTGTGTTTATATGATGATTTGAATTATGTGATGATTTGCCTTTACAATTTGACCACCACATTTCAGTTATATGCTTCCATAAGGTGGCACGCATACTAGCATGTAGCAAATATGAATATGCAAATTGCTATTATTGGAAGTAGATGCCTTTATCGTGTTACAACATTGGTCCTATATATGTGGATGTAATATTATGTCATATTGCATGTTTATAAATTGAATTGTTAATTACTGAGATTTTTATATTTCATATTAGTACCTTTGTACTTTTTAGGTGTTTGTGGTCGAACAAGGGAGATGTCATCAAAGGCAAAGAACTAGGGCTTATGTGTGTGAAGCCTTTAATCAGTCTCATGTAAAGTAACATTCATATTTGCCAACATTAGGAGATTCATTAAGTTTAGTAGAATTAAATTACATGCATGAGTTATTGTGAGGGGATTTCTTGTGCCATATGGCAGCTAATGATTTTATGGTATAACTAAAAGTGATAAAGATATTATAGTCAAGACACATTCATTAAGTAGTTCTAGTTAAGTTGAATGATGAGTATGAGAGGGGAAGATACTTGTCATGGTATATATAGCTTGCAAGGTTTCCTTGGTATTTACAGTTTGACCCTTCATCATTTCCCCCTTAACGCTCTTCTTTTTTCCCATGTTTTTGCACCTTAAAGGTACTCTGGTATTTCTAATAGGAAAATATTTGCTTAAAATAAATTTTGGGATCCCATGATTAAGAATTTATGGTTTAAAGTTAATGCTTGATTAAGCTGCGGTTGTTTAGTTAAGTAAGATAATGACAGAGGTCATTACACTTGGCACAAACACATTTTAAAATATAATAATTTATTATTTATATTTTTAATATGCATAGGCATAACAAATTTTAAAATAGAATAAATTATCATTTAAATTTTAATTTACATAAAACAATAAAATATAAGTACTCTAAAATAAATTTTAACTTTTATATTTATATTTTTTTTATTTTTTAAACACTGAAACAATCTGTGCATGGAAAATAAATCTAGTTATGTTGTGAAGTACATCATTTGTTAATTTTTAGTTGGATGAACTGTAACAAATCCTCTTAATTTTTTTAGAAAAAGTTGTATGTTCAAAGATCATGTGGAACATACCATGAAAAAAATGTGGGACCTATGATAAAAAAATGAAATAATAGTAAATATAAAATTCATTTAAAAAATGATAGGCATGACTCATGACATGAGATACATTATTAAAAATGATAGGCATGACTCATGACATGAGATACATTATTTGTTCCTTGCATTTTTTATATGTGTAAGATAATAAATTGTGAAGATTAAAAAAAGATAATAAATTGCATAACAAAATATAAATTTCTATAACAAATAATAAAGTAGAAAATTTTATTGTTTAAATTTTAATTTATATGAGAATAACCTTCAAATAATAACTTATTTTTTTATTCTTTTAATATATATATATATGGAAAAATTATATATATATAATTTTTTAGATATGTACAGGTATCTTATTTATATTTTCAATAATCAATATGCATATAGATAAAAAAAAATACTAAAATAAAACAAGTTTGAAATTTAATTTATGTGCAAATAATGTGTAAATTATAAATTATAAAATAAAACGTTACTTTAAAATAAAAATATAAAATAGAATATTTTGTTATTTAAATTTTAATTTACGTGAAAATGACACAGCATATGATAACAAATTATTTACTATATTTGTCATATACACAGGGGCAAAAAATTATAAATTATAAAATAATTTATGTGGATATAAACTAAATTAATTATATGATGTTGATAAACTTATTTTCCATTGCAATCCTTCTAACTTTATCTTACTGGTCTTTCTTATTATAAGCATTTATATTTTTTAAAAATAATATTATAATATTGATGATGCTATTTGTTTAATTTAAAATCAATTATGATTTACGAATACTATTATGATATAAACTATATATAGTATATGGTTTATTATGGTACATGTTACATTTTTCTCATGGTGATTTCAAAATTTTCCCTCACATTTAAAAAGCCTAATATCCGGTTTGGTTATTAAAAAAATGAAACAAATTAAAAAATAAAAATAAAAATTAAACAGGATAAATTTTATTAATATATATTATAAATGTGAGAGTTATCATCCTTTTCAAAAATTTTATAAATTATGATTCTCAATCTCATGCATTAAATCATCCCTCTCCCTTTTGTCAATCCATTCAATTCATTCATTTTTAACAAGCACATGGTACCTAAGAGTTTACAAATATCTCAAACACAATTCTTTAACGCTTATACGCATGGATGAATTGGGGAAGCTAAGCCATCATGTGGGGTTTTTTTCTTTTTTTGGCCAGAAATCTTGTGGGACTTAGGAGTAAAAAGGAACAAAATTCTCCAACAGTAACACCGATGCGCATGAATGAATTGGGAAGCCAAGCCATCATGTGAGGTTTAAAAATTAAAATTAAAATTTATCTAAACATGGGAGCTAAAATTGATTTCAACATTTTTTATAAATAAAAATACACTTGTTTATAAAAGAATGTTTTAAGACATGGTAAGCACCCCTTAAGTTTGCTATTGCCTGTGAATAAAGAAACAAACATTCTCTCTGCAAATTAAAGTAATGTTATTTCTTATTGCTGAATATCTCAAAAATTTAAACCTTAATTTATGAATGACTAATTTATTTTGTTAGATCTAATTTTATTGGTGAATGTTTACTTATTTTATAAACAAGTTGTACAGTTTTGTTATTCATATAAAATCAGATTATTTTTGTTTTTTCTATACATTTCTGCCCCTTTTTTATTTAACTTGGAAGAAAGTAAAAACCAAAAAGGTTGCGTGGCTATGGAAGTACGTGACTAAAATCAATTTTTTTTACAAAAAAAAATCTAATTTATTGATTTTTTTTTTTTTAAAGGATGTTGGCTGATGGACACGATGCATTGACCATGAGAGGATTCTGGACATTGACACAACACGTTGATCGACTGAAGGCTCACCTCCACAAGCGAAGTTCGGTAGTTCCCCCCTCACATTTCTTCAACAACCTGAATCGTAAGTCCATGGATTTGAACTACTCTTCTTCGCTTACAATCCCTGTGAATGGCACGATCCCGAATGCTCCCAACTCCGTTGGTGATCGGAAGCCCATAGCCTTGTGGCCGGGAATGTACCACTCGCCGGTCACGACCGCTCTTTGGGAGGCCAGGTCGAATATCTTCGAGAGGCTTCTGGACCCACCCAAGGACGCCCCGCCTCAGAGCGAATTGCTCAACAAAACCCCTTCCCAGAGCAGGACAAGCATTCTGTATAACTTCTCCTCCGATTTCATCCTCAGAGAGCAGTATAGAGATCCCTGGAATGAGGTGCGAATTGGGAAATTGCTTGAAGATCTTGACGCCTTGGCTGGTACTATATCGGTGAAGGTAGCCCCATGCTCTATTCTCCATTGTTCAGCTTTTCTTTTGTGGTTGTGTTCCTTTTTTAGCAGAATTGACTGTATGGGTAGCGTTTCTGATGTTATTATCTTAATAGAGGAATTGGATGACAACTAAGAAAAGTCTAGTCATCAGTTGAACTTTTGGTCCTTCACGGATTATTTCAATTAATTTATTCCTCCAATCATTAAAATGCTTATACTGTCGCTCACATGCTATTTAATAGTAACTTGCTTGCTTTGACATTATTGAATGTTAAATTTGAATTTAGTAATAAGTGACAATTACTATCCAAGTCAGCACACTGATATTGACGTCAGTTTTAAATGAAAATGGAATTCAAAAGGTAACACTGCAAGCTTCTTAATGATTGAGGGAATTGAATTGAAAGAGACAATCGAAGAGGACCAAATTGAAATTCCACCTATTTGTCAGAGACCAAATTAAATTAGTTTTTATCAAAGGGCAATTGAGTTGATACCGAAACTGTGTTTAATATCTGGCTGTTGTGGTTGAAGATTTATGCTATGTTTAGGAGACTGTTCTTTGATAACGTTTTTTTTTTAAAAAAAAAAAATTTGATAAGAACCATTGTTTTATTTGAAGCCTAATCTGGGTGTTGCCCAAATGACTTGCTAGCTTCTGAAATTTGAAGGGAAAATGCTGTCATTTCAACGTGTGTTATCTGTCTCTGTGTACCTAATTTAACTTAGCCAATTTCCATTTGTTTGTGAAACAGCACTGTTCTGATGATGACAGCACAACAAGGCCACTTTTACTAGTGACTGCTTCTGTCGATAAGATTGTGTTGAAGAAACCAATTAGTGTCGGCAAGGATCTCAGGATTGTTGGTTCTGTTATATGGGTTGGGCGATCATCTATTGAGATTCAGTTGGATGTGATGCAATCCTCTGAAGGTACATAATATTTGACATGCAAATGTCTGAAAATTAAGTATTTCACAGTTGGATGGCAATTTAGAGGAAACTATCTGTTCCTTGGCTCCACCTATTTGCTTTTATTGTTTCAATGTATCATACATTAGTTCATTTTGTTCCTCAATTTGGTCTTACATGCTTGATTTTCATGGTATAAAAATCCCATTGTCCTTTTTTGTTCCTTTGGTTTTCTTTTTTTCCCATTATTTTTATGTTTATTAAGATACCATTGTTGGCTTTTTCAGACACATGATCAGAAACATTCTTATTACAGATACTAGTAATTACTTGTACATTTTCTCTTGCCACTTTACTAAGTATGGAGAGTTTTTGCTTGGTTTTGTTGCATTTCATTTTTAATGTTCAAATCATATTTGTAGTTATCAAATATGTCTTCATAAGATCCTTATTGGGATGAGACCTACTGACCTTTGAGAAGCTTTAATAAATCATTGTATGATATGTATCATCTAAGAATGAGTCAACCCCTTAACAATTTTGTCCTAATTGTTGAAACATTTTCCTCATTACTTTGCTTCTACAAGTTGAAGAATATTAACTGCATCAATTTCCTGGGAGCAATGTTAGCAATCCAGATGTCATTGACCCTAGTTTCATTGATATGAAATGCAGTGATCAATAATAAATAAATGATAACTTGCAGATGGCTTTGAAACATCAGATTCAGTAGCTCTGACAGCAAACTTCATATTTGTTGCCCGGGACTCAAAGACCCGGAAGGCTGCTCCAGTGAATCGGCTTTCACCAGAAACTGAACATGAAAAGGTTCTTTTTGAACAAGCTGAAGCAAGAAATAATTTGAAGAAAAAGAAACGAGGAGAGAAGAGGGACTTTGAGAGTGGGGAGGTAAATAGAATTAAAGCACTATTAGCTGAGGGAAGAATTTTCTGTGATATGCCAGCATTAGCTGACCGAGACAGCATTCTTCTAAGGGATACTCGCCTTGAGAACTCTTTAATATGCCAGCCACAGCAGAGGAACATTCATGGACGAATCTTTGGAGGTTTTTTGATGCATCGAGCATTCGAATTAGCTTTTTCAACAGCATATGCTTTTGCTGGATTGGTTCCTTGCTTCCTAGAAGTTGATCATGTTGATTTCTTAAGACCCGTGAGTGTTTTTTATTGTTAGTTCTTTCCTTTTTATCTATCACAGCTTGCTTGCCTATAACTGATTACTGTTTATGATAAATCCATCACATCTTAATAAATCAGTGGCCTAAATTAGCTTAACTCCACTATTGGTCCCAAAATAAAACACCGTACCTTTATTGCATAATTTTGTACTACAGTCAATGGGGGAGGATATCTGAATTTTCTGTAGGCAAAATGTATCAATTCTTGGATTTATTTGGATGTTTGGAATTTGAGATGGGAGGGGAGGAATCAAAAGATAGAGAAATGGAGAGGATGGAAATAGAGGGTTAAATTATTTCTTTTGTTGGAAATTAACAACATAAGAAATTTAAAATAATCTTAAAATTACTTGATTAATTACAATATAATCTCAGAGAATTATCTTTCTAGAATGATTAATTGGAATAATTTGGTTGATTGACATGATAACACACAATTAACAACATTGTACTTAATGTTTGGTCTCTCCTCCAAAATCCTCTTAAGTTGGAAGCACTTATTATTACAAAGAATTGACGACTTCAAAGAATTCTGGATAGTTAGGTGAAAATCCTTCCTTTTCCTTGCCCCAATCTTAATTACAGAAGTAAATTCAAAGATAGAGTAACTGGTTTCAGAGATGATTAAGCCCCAATCTTTAACAAACCAAACAATCAAAATCACAATATCAATTCAGTCATTTACAAGGGACAGAATCCATCATAACTTCAAACAATCAAGATTATTGATTGTGCAGCTGGGTATTTTAACAAATGTTTTCAATTTTCTGTGGTTTTAGTGGTCCTTATTGTGTGCATGAAAGTTTCACATATGAAGATCCACATATCCTTTTCTGCTTTCATTTCCCCATCTTGTATTTTTGTCAGGAATATATTCATCTTACTATATTATGGGATAAACAAATCAAAAATCAAACAATTGTCCTGTTTCAATATACCCTAAAGATAAGGTATTAATATACTGCAGGTTGATGTTGGAGATTTCTTGCGATTCAAATCCTGTGTGTTATACACAGAACTTCACAACCCAGATCAGCCACTAATCAGTGTTGAAGTTGTGGCTCATGTTACAAGGCCAGAGCTGCGAACCAGCGAGGTAAGTTGAGTGAACTGTACTTACACATGAGCAATAGGTCAAGGCCTTTTCTTACGTCCAAGCAGTTATAAAAGAATAACATAGGTTTTCTGTGTGTTTATCAATTATTATTTAATGATTTCTCTGCGTCATTTTATTACCTGATACAGGTATCAAATACTTTCTACTTTACTTTCACGGTTCGCCCTGAGGCAAAAGCGACGAAAAATGGATTTAAACTTCGAAATGTAGTTCCGGCAACTGAGGAAGAAGCTCGCCTTATATTGGAACGCATGGATGCTGACAGCATGCAATGATTCAGATAAAATAAGGTATTAGCGAATTGTTCATACGATAAAAGTGACAGCAGTTAGCTGTGAAACGTCAAACTTCAAACTACATCTAAGTTACAGGAAGTTCAAATATAGAAGTTTTCAATGAATATGTGATTGAATAAACAGAAAAAGTTAGTGGAAGACTAAATTGAATATATACTTATGAACGCAGGATGTCCTTACGAGTTGTTTTATTTTGTGTATGATAACAAGCCTGCCAAACATGTGTCTAAGAGCACAAGTTTGATTTCTGTTTGTAACATCTTCCATGAAGCTCTGAGAAATGTTATTTTATTCTGTTAATAACACACCATTGGATTTTATAATAGGTAAAGGATGCTTCTGTAACTTGGTGTTTGGGCTTGTTTTCAATAGGCTCGAAGCGTGATGATCACTGTGATAGAAGCTTGAGAGTAGTTTGGATGACTATGGGTACTTGAATAAAGTGGAGAATTGTTTTTTTTTTTTTTGTAAGAAAAAAAGGTGGAGAATTCTAATATTCTATCTCAAAAGTAGTTGTTGAGGTGAGAAATCAAAATAGTTCCATTTTAATACTTAGGGCCTATGGGATGTAAAATTTATAAAGTTTTGGATAAGTATTTTGAATTTAAATATTTAAAAAACTGTTTTTTTTTTAATTTTTAAAAACAAAAAGTGGAAACATCTTAAAATTGCTTTCTGTTTATTTATTTTTAAAGCACATTACATGTTATTATTATAAATTACCTTCAATAGCCAACATCTATTCTAGTCTATTGCCATTAGCCACTTGGCTACTGTTACTATTGTCTTTTTTTTTAATTCTAAAATTGTTTTAAAATTAAATGTACTTTTATTTTGTTTTGTTTTTATTTTTTTTAAGTTTACAAAATAGTTTTTTAAAGTAATAGAATAAAACTAAACAGTCGAACATTTTTCATTTTTCTTTCTTTAATGTTTTTGGCCGAACCTAGCAAATAGTGCAGCGTAAAAGTCTTTCGGTCCGATTTAATTCAATTTGACCTGAGATGCTCATATTCCGTCTAATTTATATAAATATTGGTCCTTCAAGATCAAAAAGATTAAAAAGATCAGATTATTTATTAAGATTGGACTGGACAGGAGATTAGGCATCTAGATCATTCGGTCCAGTCCAATCTTATTAATTTATTTAATATAATTATAATTTATTTATTTTTGACAAATGCTTAAGTGTAATTAACACTAAGGAAATGATTATATGAAGATTTGTTGAGTTTGTTTTTAAATTGTTGTTGTAATACAGTGTTGTTGAGGTTTGTTGAGTGTTATTTTTATTGACATTATAAATTTAAATTATTTAGACTGTAAATAAAATTTTTTGTTGGAAATTATTGTGGATTTATTATTATTATAAGTTTTTTTATTATTTTAATTGAGTTTATTAGGTTAAAATGAATTATTGCCTCTCATAGAGGAAAAGAAAAAAAAATAATTAAGTGAGTACTGAATTAACAGGACTAGTCTTTCAATCCTATAAAACAAGTTTGGTCTTATTAATTTTTATATTATCACCGGATGATCAGATTAGGAGTTGTTTAACTTAATTTTTCTCATGAAAGAGATTCAACTTTAGAAAGTCAAATGTCGTGTAATCCTTGATGCGGCTCTACTGGCAGAACATATTATTCAAATGTTTCGTGACTTCACGTGATAAACAGATAACAGGCAAAGTGAAGAAAATGATACTAATGTCCAAAATCAGTCCCAACGAAGAAGCCTCAGTGAATCGGCCTTGTCTGCTTGTGTGTGTGTGTGTGTGTGTGTGTGTGTGTGTTAGAGAGAGCGAAGGGATTGCTCAGAGCCTTATGTAACTGATTAATGAAACTTCATTGTCGGGGTTTACAAGGTGTGAAGAGATAGAATGAAGTTTGGAAAATTACACGTAACTGTCATAGAAAAAATTTAATTATCAAAAAATCTTATAAAATATACAAAATATTTTTAAATTTCAAACCATACATATTTACAACTTGATAAAAAAGTATTTATAGTTGGACAATGAACATTTATAACTTGTCATTTTCCTTTGCAACTTGTGAATGCTCATTGTCTAGTTATAAATTTACAGAATTTGAAATTTGTGAGTATTTTATATATTTTATAGGAATTTTAGGTAATTAAATTTCTTCTATAGGACCTAGGTATAATTTTTCATGAAGTTTTTTCTTGTTTTTAAAAATAAAAAATAAAAAAATTATTTAGGCAACTGTCTCAGATTTAAATGTTTTCAAGTCTCTTCTTTGTTTTAAATTTTAAAAACAAAAATGAAAATATTTTGGAGCTTTTTTTTTTATTATATTACTGACAGTAAAAATTTTCTCCATCGAAATGCTGAGGATGAAAAATAAACCACTTCCAACTAAGTTACTTTATGCTTAAGGATTATGATTTAAACCTCCCAACAATTTGCTCGACTGACGAAAGCCTATGACTCACTCTAGCTTGAGTTGGTAAAGCATACTAGACTTTAATTATAAATTATCTTTATCTATGACTTATCACTATCATATATTATAAGCCTTTTTTAATTTTAAAATTATTTTTAAATTAATATAATCAAAAAAAATTTACTTTATTTTGTTTTAAGAATTAATTTACAAAATAATTTTTAAAAACAAAAAAAAAAGGAGAAAATCATTAAAGTTATGATGGAAAAGAAGGGGACACATCTGAATCTGTTACTTCCTTCATCTTTTAACTGATTCATACACATCAAAGGAGTTATTTAAAATTAATTGATAATCTTAAAATTATTTTATTTTTCTAAAAAAACTTAATTAAATAAAATGAATTCTAACCTAATCTTACCCGTCTTTTCCCTCTTCCCATTGAAATTATAATGCAAAAACATTTATGTGAACAGCTTTTAAAAGAAAACTAATGAATAGAGATGTAGATATTATATCATATGAACTTATTGTAATTCCTTGGTTTTCTATCAAAAACAATAAAATTTCAGTAGTCTTTGCTAAAAAAAATAAAATAAAATTTCAGTTGTCTATTTTGATATATATAATTTATTATTGTGTGATTCCTCAAATTAAGTATGCCAATATCATTTTAAAACTTGAATCAAATGGCATGAAGGGAGAAGAATGCAAATAAATAATCAAAATCTTTGAACAAACATGAACTAAAATCTATCACAAAAAAATGTACACCCTCCATTAGAAAATAAAAGGCATTTTTTTAGATAAGATGTTGAAAAATATAAAGTATTTTGAGTCTGATGTAATTAATGAAATTGTTTCAAAGATATTTAATTAAGGGGTGTAATTAATAAGGTTTTTTAATGAGTTAAAGGGCAAAAATATTTTGAAACATTATTTCATGGACGTTTGGCATCTTAAACCTTTTAAAACATTTTTTTTTTCAAAAGTTTCAAAAATAGAGCATTTTCATCCCACAGTTACAAATTGCAAACGTTGATCATTAAATGGAAGTTTGATAAAGGATATTTTTATATTTTTTTCCCTCCTTCCTATTGTATTTAATCTCTAATTTCATTCTCCGGTGAATTTTTTAACTTTTCTTCTTCCAACAAGTAATTTTTAACTTTTCTTCTTTCAAAGAGTAAAAACAAAAATCCAAAAATCCAAAATAAAAAAGGACAAAATCATAAAATATCCTAATCAAGCTTCAATTAATAGTCAATGTTTGTAATTTTTAACGGTGGGATGAAAATGTTTTGTTTTTGAAACTTTCAAGATAAAAATATTACAAAAAAAAGTTTAGGATGTCAAGCGTATGGGAAAAAAAAATTCAGAGTATTTTTGCAATTTAATTATTTTTTAATTGAGATATTATATTAAATAACAATATAGAAAAAGTATAAAATTTTAAAGACAACTAACTCAGTGGGGAGCAAAATTTCAATTAAAACTATCTCATAATATTAAATCGACGGAGTATCATTGATAGATTATATTAACTATATCCAACTCACAGACATGTTTAGAGAAGCCGATAATGATACTCTGATTAGTTGAACATTAAATTAGACGTTAAGAATTTTGATGTTCCACCATTTGGATACGAAGTTCTTTTGTGTTTGCGTGACTTTGGTTTTTCCGTAACCTATACAAAAAAAAAAAAAAGGCGCCTTGGGCAATTATAATTAGGCATAGCAGCCACAGACGCGTCTCCTAATCATGAGTCATTGGAGAGAACTGGTTCTTCACAAAGAAAATATTCTACTTTATATATTACCAACAATGGCATACAGTTTCAATCTTTTACATGATTTTTTACAAAAAATTTTACATGCACACTTCAACTAGTTAAAAATCACACCTTGTGTGAGGTTGTTTCTATCAGAACATGCAATCAAGACCATTTCAGAGCTATGGAGACGAATTATCATCATCTGAAGAATTGCATTCACGCCTTCCATCACATAAGCCAGGATGAGGTTGTGGAAGCATAGGGTTGACTGGAACTGGAAATTTATGCCCAGAACTAACGATGGTTCGCTCGTTGATCATACCCACTTCTTTGCAGACCCGGTCAAGAATCGTGAGAAAGTCTCTCACCACCATGAAGATTCTGAAAGGATGAGCTTCTTCCTTGGCTGAGTTACCATGGAAGTACTCTGTGAGTTCCTTCACAAGGGACAAAGCAGCTCTTTCCTGAGCTTCAACTTTCAGAATCTCCTCTTCAGCCACCCTCGTGAATTTGTTCATGGACTCTGAAAATTTCCTGCTGTTTTCATCGTCCAACTTGGTAGTTTTGATCAATTGCAAGATGCCGGCAACGTTCTTTAGTCCTTGAGAAAGTTTAGAGACTTCACCGATGAGAACTTCAGAATCCATGGCAGCAGCCTTCTTTACATTTGCCAGCTCTGAACTCAGACTAGATACTACTTGCAGTCCAAGTTTCCTGAACTTGGCATCTTCAATGGAGCTAGGGTTAGGAGTTTGATTGGTACCTGAGAGACGAGCACCTTCGATTCTTATTATTTCCTGGACAACAAAATGCAGGAGACTGGTTTTTCCATCTGCACCTTTGACATCAACAAGCTTGAGAAGTGTATCAAGCTTGAAGGCAAGTGCATCGCCTCGGTTGGTCCCGGTATTCATGCGGTTCCCGGTTTTAAGCACAGCCTCCAGAAGTTTCAAGAACATTCTACTATTTCTCAGTTCTTCACATGCAGCCTGCAAAAATGCCAGTCACAAATGCACACATCAATTTTCAGATCAGAACTCAAATTCATCTTTCAAGTTTCCATGCATTTCATCTTTTCATACAACTTTCCAATGATTCCTCCAAAAAACATAACAGAGGGAAAGAATGGTTGATTACCTCCAGAATTCCAAATGATTTCCTGAGATACTCCAGCTCAGACTCAAAGTTTGCAATGTACAGCATTGCTTCCACCCTTTTGAATGCGAAAGGTATATCAAGCACAGCCTTCAGAAATTTCTCTGCAGGACCAAGCTTGGTTGGCGAGTCATCTGTGTGATCCCTCAATTTCCGCTCTTCTTCCTTGCTCGGCGCCATCTTTAACAAGCTTTCAAGCAGTTCTGATCCAAGTGTATCAGCACTACCTGTAGGGAGTTAAACGGTTTAAGTCTCTGGTTGTGTATCTGAATGAAAATCATATTGCAGCAGTGGATTGAATATATCCCGCCAAAGACTACCATCCAAATCTCTGACAATAGCGCTATAATAACTTGTACTGACAGACAATATTATCAGAGAAACTTCCAGCAACATGGGGACAATGACTTGATTAAAGAGAGAAACATGAGGCTTCAACAGTTGGTAAAACCTGAGAGGCATTTAATAAATCAAGAAACTAGAGAATAATGAAAGGGCTACATCTTCCCTGATATTAGAAGAGGGTCTCTATGAAAGCTATGCAGTAATTCGTTTAAAGAGGTTTGGATGGGAGTGAGAATATGCTTCCTTGTTCTTCTTCATCAGAATATCAATAATGACCCAAAAAAAAACAAAAGAAAACACCACCAGAGAACTCAAGATTTCAAATTCTATGATATTACTCTTAATGAAAGGGATATTATATACCTTCTAAAAGAGCTTCACAAACATCTTCTATAGTGACGTTAAGTGCTCTCAGTAAAATCGAAATATTTTGCGATTTTTTAGGATCAAGTATTCTGTCCTCCTCACTTTGCTGGGAAAAACCTGGGTGTACAGTCGAACACTTGGGCGCATTCACAAACAAAGTTTCAATCATTTCCTCATTCAATCTGCAGCAAACCCGAAATTATGCACTTAATCCAGCAACATGGATTGTAAATTCCAACAATAACATATCTAAAATGTTAAACAGTTAAAACAACAAAAGATGACTAAAGTGATAACTAATATTCTTACTTAAAAGAACTTGTTCTCAAGTGATCCCACACCATTTCACGATCAGAGTTCGCTCTCACTTTATCCCAATGCAGTGGCTTCAACTTCGGTTTCTGGGTTTCATCAACCACCCCTGCATTTTCAGAACTCGGTGGCATCTCAACAGGTGAAACCTTTATTGTTGGGTTTTGCAACACAAAAGGTCTTGAAGGAGGTATTAGCTCAGGTGGCCTAGAAATGGGCTGAGCAGTGGGTGTTGAATGAGCTGGAATTTCCCATTGTTTTCGAGGAGGCGGCGGAGGAGGAGGCGGAGCTAAAACTGTAGGATGCGGCTGAGAAACGGGTGCTGAGAGAACAGGAATCTCCCATCGTTTACGCTGTGGGGGGGAATCTTGAACTGGAATTTTGCACAATTCCGTTTCTGGTGATGAAAGTAATGTTGGAGACAATGGCCGTGATGACAGAGACAGAGGAGATTGCCTATACCGATCAGAGAAGCTAGAAATTCTTGGAGACTGATCAAAGCTTCGTTCCCACGCTTTCTCTGGAGATGATGGCAGAGAAAAAGCTGAAGATGATGTCACAGACTTCCTGCTTTGATATGAAGCATTCGATAATCTTGGAGAAGCTCCTGCATTTTTCGCCACTCCCTCTGAAACTGCATTAGATAATCTTGGTGATGACAAATTAGAATTCTTCTGCAAAGCTCTACTTGGTGATAACGAGAGTGGAGACAGCAAAGGAGATTGGCCTTCACAAGCAAAAGCTTTCTCTGGAGTTGAAGATGACGATGACAGGGAAGAAGATTGCACATTGACATACCGGTTATTATTGTGAACAGAAGATAACGCAGGTGATTCAACTTGGTTTGTCTGTACCCCCAGAGAAGCGCCGTGGACTACTGAAGTCTCCGGTGCTTTCGGCTGCGACCTTTTGGGGCTTAAGCTAACCGGCGGTGAGAGACTAGCGGAATGTGACCGGTCCGGCGAACCCGAGGTAGAAGAAAAGGAAGTAGAACCAGAGTCACAGCTTCGTCCACCAATATTTTCACCTCCATTATCCGCGAACACCCTCCGAGAACCCGACCCGGTAGCGCTTGAGCTATCACGACCACCCAAAGACCCTTTCGGCGAGTAGAATTCCTCTTCGTCTTCGTCCGCTGTAGCAGTCGAACCCACATCATCACGCTCCGCTCCATTCTGCTGGCACGAAGCTTGCCGGGCCAGCGGCGGAAGCGGTTGGAGCTCCGGCGAGTCCATTCTGCGAGGGTCCATAGCACCAGCACTGCCACCACCATTATCATTGCCTCGAGCATCAGGACGGCCACAATCGTCGCCAATACCGCGCGAATCAACAACAGTACCGAGATAAAGAAACTCAGAGCTGGCGGAAGACGCAGTATGCCTAACCTTGCGACTCGCACTACCAGCTTCAACATTGTCAGCAAACAACCTGAGATTACTCTCGGATCTGATAATCTTCTCGTCTTCAGAATATGGCCTCCGTCGTCCCCACTGGCAATAGACGAAGGCGGAAATCCCGACAAAGGCAACAGCGGAGAGAACAGCTGCAACACTAACACCAACAAGCTTAGAGGAAGAGTTAGGTTTCTGTCTGGGGGTTTGAGGGATAGCAAGAGAAGATATATTGGCAGGGTAAGAAATGAAGGTAGCGACAGGAGGAGGAGGAGGAGGAGAAGCAGGATAAGAGGGGAAAAAGGGAGGAGAGTCAGGGGTATTTGTGGAAGACGGTAACGTGGGGGCTTCTGGGGGCGAAGCAGAAGCAGAAGCAGCAGAAGGAGGAGGAGGAGGAAGAGGAGGAGACTGGTTGTCCAATGGCTTAAAGGGTTCGTGGAGGCTCCTGCGGGATGAGGAAGAAACAAAGGGTTTAGAGGAAAAGAGGAGGAGGAGGAGGAAGAAGAAGAAGATGGTCATTGTGAATGTTTCTGTGTGGGGTGTGGCTCTGGGGGAGCGAGATTGTAGGTGAAGAGGGTCAGTAATGGCGGATGATTTGTGGGGACTTGAGTTCTGAAGGTCGAGTGAGTGTGTGGAGTGTGAAAAGGTGGAAAGAAGAAGGAAGAGAGTGAAACTGAGGAATGGAAGAAAGTGGATACAGCTAAGATTCAGGTGAACCCACCGTTTTGTTTTGATGTTTCTAATTTTCAACCCTTTTTTTGTAAAGCCTAATAAGAGACCTCAATCCCAAGCGCCTAATTGGCGGGAGACGTAACGGAACTCCTCCCACTTCACTCTTTTCTTCAAGCCCTGAGTTATTTCTAATCACTATTTTAAGATCATAATGTTGTCACTATCAGCGGTTTTACATATTTTAAAAAAAATTAAATTTAATTTTAATATCATAAAAAAATAATGTGCACTTCATTTTTTAACATTAATTTTAAATAATAAAACAGCTACCTTAGATACCTCCATATTAATTAAAAATAAATAAAATTAAAAAAAGTAATTTAATTATTATAATATATTTTGCATTTTAAATTAAAATTAACTTTTCAAAGGTATCATATCAATAGAATCGGATAGATTACACTAACGTATTAGACATGAAAATAGATTACACTAATTTATAAATTAATTAACTTTTAACCCACACACACCCGTGTTTAACCCTTAATTGTGCTATATGTTTTATCACTTTTATCTTAATTAGACATGAAAATATTCAAATCTAACTAATGTATTAGATATTCAATTATTTTTTATCTAAAAAAATAGGGAAGATGATAATTAGAGACCTTGTAAAGACATTAATATCAATTAAAGAACTTAAAATATTGAAATGCCAGAAAATAACCATAACTGTCATTTACAATTAGAATATTCCATTTTTAATAGAAAATATTTCCAATTTCTAATTATTAAGATAACCAATAAAAGATCACTCATAAATTTAACAAAAGTTAGTTGTAAATTTAAAGAAGATCACTTATAAATATATGAAAAATTAATTGTAAATAGATAGATAGTTTTATAAGTATATACATCAACAAAAGTGACTAATTATTCATATTCATTCACAACTGACATTTCATATATTTACAATTAAATTTTTATAATGTTACCATTGCCCTTCTTAAAGTTCACAAGTAATTATCCTTAAATATATAAGTGACTATACATAAATATAATTCATTACACTATCTATACATTTGCAATCAATATTTCATTATTCCTTCTAATCGTTATAATATAAGACACCTCGAGAAGCTTTTTCCCTTTAATAGAAGACACCTTATAAAACTTAATAAAACATTAATGAGTTTATTTTCAAATATCCCCATGTATCCTTTTAATTCATTTGGATGTGATGTTTGAATTGAAAATTTAAAAATAAAATTAATAGTTTTAATTAAGTGTAATTTGGAATTTCAATAAAAAATTTTAAAAAAAAATCAACACCCTTAACTAATTTATAACGCATTTCTTAATATTCGAGTTGATTAAAAATGTATGGGAGGGAGTAATTTATGAGTAATATTACTTAAATTTATAATTAACTTCACTTAAATTTATAAATTACATTTTGTCGATTATTTTAATAATTATTTTTTAATTATAAATAAAGATTATAGTCCTTCCTTTATGTTTTAATAATTCAATGTATTCAATTATCATCAGTATTATCGTTGAAATGCCCGCAATTCTTATCATCCCTAAAAAAAAGTTTGTGATGATTTTCTTGTGATGTTTGAATACGTTTTTTACGCCCTAAAGACAAACTTTTGACTTCGTCTACCTAGAGAAAAGGAAAACTTTTGAATTTGGCATCTCATTAATGGATGATGGACCCCCTCTTTCTCTAATGTAAATATATTACTTTGAGTCTCAGAGGGTACACAGGTAAATTAACCAATGTCACATTTCTTAAAAATACTTCTTGTCGAAAATATAAATAATTTTTTAAAAAATTTGGCATATTAATAAAGTCTTTATTTCCATAAAAATATATATTATTTTTATTTTTAATTTCAATTATCAATGTACTTTATAATAAGTAAAAGATATATTTATACAAAGATTTGAATTAATAAATACAATGAGTAAAATAAAAAAAATTACATATACTAAATTGTTTATATTTTGAAACAAGATTAATTGAGAAAAAAAAATTTATATTTTAAACTGGAAGGAGTAGTATATAGCTAATATCTTTAAACTTTACAAAATGTTTGAGTAGAGTCGGTAATTTGAATAGGGCGTGCTTATTTGGATTAGGCTCAATTCGGGTCAAGCTTATTTGAATTGAACTTAAAATATCCTATCTTTTTTTAAAAAAATCCCATATAGTGAAATCTGACTTTAACTTTTTTCAACTAGGTTTGGTTGGCTTGTTGGGCGTAGTTAAAATCATCAACTATACATATATATAAAACCGGTAATTTCGACGATCAGGTTTATTCAGGTCAGGCTAGCCATAACTTACTCTTTAAAAAAGCTCATATAGTCAAACATGACCTTAACCTTTTTTAAGCTAGTTCGAGTTGACTTATTGAATTTTATCTGAATTACTAACTTTATGTTTGACTTTTCAATTTTACCTTTTTTATCAAAATTAATTGCTACAATAAAATTTACCTAAAAATACAATTTCTGTAATTAAAGAAGGATGATAATAGAAAAAATTTAACTTCTACATCTATATCTTATATTTAGAATTAAATAAAGCTTTAAGACTTTTCTATACAATTAGAACAGAAGGGAGAATGTGTGTGTATAATCTAAAAATCTTATATATTATTCCCCTGTCTCAATTCATAAGATATTTTTTTACAAAATAACATGAAGTTTATTAAATATAATTTGTAATCTTAATTTTTTTATAAACTTTCAAAAATGCTCCCTCCGTTTTTATATATAAAATATTTTTAACCGAAACAAGTAAACTCATAAAAGTTGGTTATCTAATTAAAGGTACATCAACATTTCAATTTTACCTTTAATTATTCTAAATAAAAAATGAATCTCTTTTTTAAAAATAAACTAATTAAAGTACTTATCTTTTTCTCTTTTCAATTTAATAAGAGTATAATAATTCATTTATTAAAAAACATGCTAATAAAAACAAGATTTTAAAAAACCTGTTATGTATAGGAACGATGAAAGTGCACTCATTAACGAGAGATAAAGAAGAAAATTTATCTAAAGAATGAAGTAATGAAATGTATATTGAAAAAATTATCATTAATAAAATTTTATTTTTTTTCAAAACACCTAATACTTTGTCAGACTAAAGGCCTGTTTGGCAACATATTCTGGTAATAATTTTCTGTTCTCCAAAATAAGAGAATAAAAAAATTTATTTGGTAATATGTTTTTAAAAAATATTTTAGAAAACAAATTAAATATTCTTCTAGAGAACAAAAAAAAATGAAAATAACTTTTAGATGTTATGGAATTATTATTTTAAGTAATAAAAAAATAAAAAAATACGTATTTTTAATATTTTTTATTATCAAAACATGCTTTATAAAATATTAATTTTCAAAATAATAAAATCAAAACTTTTTCAAACAGTCTCTAAATCACTTTCAAAAATGTTTTATAAAAGAGGTGAAGGGTACAGAATAATTACACATGATCTTAAATTTATATCTCACAACATATTGTCCCACACTAATTATTTGGAATAAACGTTACAACCTTTCAGTCTCGTGAGAAAGCATAAGCCATTCAAAATGTCATAAAGTCTGAAAAAGAATCGAGCTTGGAAAATTACATCATCAAAGACACATCGATGGATGAAAAAGTTAACTTTAGAAATTTTTTTTAAGAAAAAATATTATTCTCAAAATATAAAGTTAATTACCATTAACTATATAAAAGTTGTCATTCTCGGCATCCTCGACTTATAATTTAGCCTTCAAAATATTAAAAGAAATGTTAGATGTATAACTTCAAGAAATTTAAATGGCAATTTCACCAAAGGAGTTTGGTCTAAAAAAAGATAATCCCTCATAAAATAAGATTTGAATTTTTATTAAAAGATATATCCACATTTAATACATAATTATGCCTTAAACAAAATAGCATTCAATAGAAGGACATATGCAAACAATTTAATACAAATGAGAGTTGGATTCAATGAAATGAGTTAGTCCTATGATGGAATAAAATTTAAATCTCCGCTAATTGTGTATTGAATATAATTGGTTCTAATAAAAAAATATACATGAATAATAAAAAATGGCAATTTATGTAAAAAAAGTTACAATTTTGAAAAGTATTAAAAAAATAACCTTGTTCCTTCAAAATATTTGAATTTTTACGTTATTAGAATGGTTATTATTTCATCGTTGGATCCTTGGTAAAATGTTCTCCAAGTATAATTACCCCCTCCTCCAAATAAAAAAATTTGATTCTTCATTGATTTTTTAATAGAGATTCAAATATTAATCCATCACGGATGTTATGAGAGATTAATTTTTTTTATTAAAACTAATCTGTATTATAAAAATTACGGCTTTTGTATGACAAGCATTGAATAAATTTTTGAGCTCGATCAATTAAACCAAAAATTATGTTTGTACGACATCATTAAGCTCAAGATAGATTCGTACCATTCAAAGAATATCTAATTATTTAATTTGAAGTACTTCACTCCCTTGGTTTCTAAATATAAAAAAATAAATAATTTATATATAATTTAAAAAGTTGATTAAATATAATAATTACATTTAAAAATTTAAAAATTGGACTAAATTATCTTTATAATTAATGAATTAAATTGGTCTAATAAAATTAAATATTAATTTTATGATGGACAATTGAAAAAAATATAATAAATACTTCTTAAAACTTATAATTTAATTTATAAATAAAAATAATAGTTTTTTATTTGAAAACGGAGTATTATAAATTATTCATCAATAAAATGTTGACATTATTAATATGGTTTAAAGTAGCACTCTCAGAAAGTATGGGTCTCGCGCCATACTTGTTTTGCTCCCTAATATAAATATAATATGAAAAAGTGTAAGCGCGTTTCGTCTGGATTAAGATACACACGTTATTTTAAAGTAAAGAGCCACCACAATGGTCAAATCTCATCTCTCTATGCCTTTGCTTAGAGAAGCGTGTGGTCTCTTTAAAGTTTAAACGCATAAAA